TGCAGGTGTAGAAGGAAGAACTGGAGGAAGAGGCTGCAGGGGGGAGGCTGGGGGTCCCGCTTTCCTCAAGTGTAGAATGAGGGGGCTGGACTCTGTGAACGCCCCCCCACACACCCCTCCCACAGACCCCGAGCTCAGGGCGGGAGCCCACTGGATCTTCCCCAGACTGTGAGACCCAGGGCCCACCTTGAGGAGGACAGGGAAGGAGAGAAGATGCAGAGTCCCCGCTGACCCCCTGGCAGGGATTCCCCTGCTCTTGTCTGTCAGGGTCCGGGGGGCTGCATCCAGCGCAGCTGACCCTGTGACACCATGGGGTGGGTGGGGGAACAGGGTGGAGGGTGTCTGGGTCATCGTGAGGGAAAGACCAGTGGGGGAGGGGCTGGCCCTCGGGGAGACTCCCTTGGGCGAGAATTTGGAGGGACCCCAGGGGACAACTGAAGCCCTGAAAAAGGCAGGCCAGGTGTGGTGGAATGAAGGGGGCCTGGCAGGTGGCGACACCCCTCAGGCACTGTCTGCCCAGAGGTCACTTGTGTTTCTAGTACCGGTTGCTCCTCCCTACCCTGGTTGGGCCGGGGTGCCGTGGGGGGCTTGCCCCTCTCACTGCATCTGCAAACTGAAAATGTCATTTATGAACCACACACATGCACGCAGCGCCCCCCCCCACACACACACACGCACAAACATACCAGTAGAGTCCAGGAGAGAGGGGCCCTCGCATGGATGGCAGCCAGTCCCAGGCTCTCTCTGACGAGGAAAACGTCTGGTTTTTTTTGTTTTTGTTTTTGTTTTTGTTTTGCTTTTTGGGTCACACCCGGCGATGCACAGGGGTTACTCCTGGCTCGTGCACTCAGGAATTACTACTGGTGGAGCTTGTGAGACCATATGGGATGCTGGGAATCGAACTCAGGTCGGCCGCATGCAAGGGTAACGCCCTAACTGCTGTGCTATCGCTCCAGCCCTGGGAAAGCTTTATCTCTATCTTCCCTTACTGGACTAAAATGGAAGTACATCCCGCCCCCTCCCCCCATCCCCCAGACTCGCTCTGGACCCAAATCCTGCCCTTCCCAGCCGTGGGGAGCGTCTTCTCCCGTCTTCTCATGTTTAGGAAGAGACTGGAAGTCCCCGCCTGCCTCGGAACTCCCCAGTCCCCACAACTCTCACGGAGTGGGGGGTTGGGGGAAGGTCCCCTAGATGTGACCCAGGGGAATTACCGGAGCAGCCCTCCTCCCCTGTGTCGGGAAGTGGAGGCCAGGAGGCTGAGGGGTCTCTGAGAGGGTCCACATCCCCCAGAGCTGCTTCCTTCCTGAGGATGGAACGGGGTCTTGCTCAGGACCCCCTGCCTGTAAATGTCGCCCGCTGCCTGGAGGCTGTGCCCAGCTGGCTTGAGACAAGGTCCTTCTGCTGGGACCTTGACGTGTCTGCTCCTCCCCACCCCCTGCCTCCCCTCTGCCCGGGGGATCGAAGGTTGGGCCTGGCCCTGGGTGGGCAGGGAACAGAGAAGCTTCTCAGGGGCTCCTCCAACTTCCCCAGCTCCTTGTCCTGCCCCAGGAACCTTCCCACAGAAACTAGAAGTTGCCCAGGGCACGGGGGCTTTGCTTCGCCCTGTGCGAGCGGGCTGGAGTCTGCCTGCACCCCACGACCAAGACAGTGAGTGTGGACATTAGCATGGGCCCCAGTGGGCACGTTTCAAGCACTCAGCAACCGGCTGCGGGGACCAAAGGGGCAAGGGGGAGCCTTTCCTTGGCCCCCCCCATGGCACCCCAAGACTTACTTGCCTGTCCTGCCCTGGGAGCAGCGGCTGGGGTGCTACGTATGCCCCAGATCAGGGCTGGCGAGGGGAAACGTATTTCCATGGAGCAGGGACTTGGGGACAGCCCCCACTCTGCCCCAGAGGAAAAACTCAGCCACAAGCCAACGGCCCCCCAGGATTGAAATCCGGCCCACCACTACCCCCTGACCTCCTCTCCCACCCGCCATAATGTAAAAGCCTGTTCAGAGGTTTGCTGGCCTGGATCTTGGACGCTGATTCCGGCAACAGGGTTGTCAGCAGGGAGGGTCTCCCCCTCCCCCATACACAGCTCAAGTGCTCTTCCTGGGTCTGTATCTTCTAAGCTGTGTTTCCGAAGCCCCCCCCCCCCCCCCCGTCTCCCTCAACGCTCTCAGAGCCAACGTCTGGAGGAGGGTGGAGGACAGCAAGTAACATGTCCCTTATCTCACTCATTCACAGGCCCCGTGCGCCCATTGGCAGATGCCAGCTGCCTGGCCCCGGGCTGAGAATGTGCCTCCTGCAAAAGGAACAGTGGCATGGACTGAGTGTCAAGTGGGGGGTGCCCAGCCCCAGCTGCCCCTCCCACCCCCACCACAAGCGGCACATGGGGGTAAAGCTGCGAACAGACCCTCTGGGGTCAGGGCCTGCCGGGAGGGGAAGATCACACTGGGGGGCGGGGGAGGGTGGGACTGCGGCAGCAGCTGGATGTGGGAGGTACCGAACACTTCTGTTCAACCTGGAACCCCGGGCAGGCACTGCAGAAACTCTTACCCTGGAAAGTGACCCCAAGTGTAGTAAGGAGAGAGAGAGGAGCATGTTGAGATGTTGACTGGTACACCCCTGAGACTACACACACACACACACACACACACACACACACACACACACACACACCATGGCAGTGGGAGAGGGAGTGAGCAGCAAAAAGTGGGTACTTGGGGTGGGGGGCAGCAACGTCAAGACAGAGAAACTGATGAGAGTCTCAGAATCGTGTCACCTTCAACACAGGGCCAGGAGGAAGTAGGGACAAGACCCGGACTCCGGCAAGGCCCCCAACTTTGAGTGTCCCGTGGCAGTTTTCTGGGTGTATCTACACCTAAACCCCGCAAGTTCCGGCAGGGGGATTCAGGGGCAGCCCCCGGGGTCCCCTGTTTTGGCCACTCCCCTCAGGTCCACCCTGCGGTGACAAGGGGAGCCTGGTCTTACTGACACACCCAGGCTCAGGGTGCCACAGGCTGCGATTTGGAAGGGAGAGTGTGGGTGTGCGAGGACTGGACAGGCTCTGCTCCCCCCACCTCGGCGGCCAGGGCGGCCCCCTGAGAAAGCCACACAGCCCTCCAGTCGTGACAGGTGACAGTGAGCGCATGAGCATCCTGGGCCCAGTGCTGAGGGTGCCGGCTGCAGAGGACTGGGCCAGAGAGAGTGGGGCATTGCACTCGCCGCCCACTTTAGCCACTTTTTATCACTGCTCAGACTCACAACCCCCCACACGAACCCTGCACGCACCAGGTACAGATGAAAACAGTTGTGAGCCACCGAGGCACAGGCCAGACACATGAGTTCCAGGGGAAGGCTCCCCAAAACCCCCATCCCAGCACGGCTCTTGGAGGAAAGGGCAGGAAAGCAAGCAGGCCCTGGCCTCAGGACCCCCGTGTGCCTGCCTGCACACCCTTCCCAAGGCACAAGCTTGCCCCCCTATATTACAGATGAGAAAAGTGTAGATGAGGTGGGAGCGCACGAGCCCAAACCCGGATCTTCCCCAGGGCTGGAGCTGGGGTGTTCCAGCTCCCCCAAGCACTCGGGTGTGCAGAGGAGCGTCCTGCAGAGACTCCCCCGGACCTGGAAACTGCAGCAGGGTCCTTAGCTACCTCCAGGAGCCCAAGGGGTGTGAGGACCCAGATGCATGCTGCAAAGTGGGCAGAGGGGCCCATGGTGGGCAGAGGGGCCCACGCCCCAAACCCTGAACGTAGAATAAAGCCTGTTTCCAAGCCATGTGCACTGCCTGAGTCCTTGGGAAGGGGGGAGGGGAACTGGGTTCGGGGGTGTCCATGGGCAAAGGGACCCTTGTGTCGGCGCACCCTGCCAGCATCCTTAGACCCACGTCCCTAGGACCAAACTCACCAAATAACTCTGGGGAGCCCAGAATGCGGGGCTGGAAGCGGGCAAAGAATGCAAATTCCCGGTGAGCCGGAGAAGAGGGCAGAAACGGTAAGTTGAGGCACCCTGGGGTCCATCTCCGGCAACACAGGGGCCTCTCGCGATGGCCAGCTATGCCCTCCCCAACAATAGCAGGTGTGAGTGACAGATGGGATTCAAAGGTGGCACGGGGGCAGGCGTCAGGATGGCTGGTTCTGTTTGGAGACACTCAACGGACAGAGATCCCAGGAAGGTGAGTGGGGGCCAGCGACGGCGCGCCTGGGGCTGCGTGCAGACGGCCTGCAACGGCCCCTGGAAAGGCCAGCCCACCGTGGTGTTCCGTGCCCAGCTGGCGAGGCCGAGGGTGTCCAGGTCTCTCCTCCAGGAGCCCATGGGGGTCTGGGCACCCCCGCCCCACCCCTGGTGCAGGAGAGACCCTCGTCATTGAGCTCCTGGGGCCCTGGCGGTGGAGGTGGTGCAGGTCGAGAGCCTCCTGCAGCGTCCACTGGCTTATTCCAATGGCACGGCCCGGGCAAATCCCCGGAGCCCAGGAGCCCCGGGTCTGCCCAGCACGTGGCCGGCTGGGGAGGATTCTAGGGATGTGGTCGTATGCATGCGCAAGAAGTCGTTTCCCAGGCACGCGCACACACTGAGGGGCACGCGCACGCACGGCCACATAGGTACCCGGCACGCGCTTCTCCGAGCGGTTTCCAGGGAGAGCATGTTCCCCGACGGGGATGCCACGCTGGGCCCCAGCTCCTGCGAGCGCTTTCCCTGTGAGCCTCTTGCCAACCTCCCAGGCCCAACACAGACCAGAAACCCCACCCCACAAAGGTTCTAGAACCTCGAAGATGCGGGAGAACAGACTCAGATTCGAAATAAACGGCTGGTTTCTGGGGTCCTGGCTTTGTTTTGGTGGTGGTGGTGGTGGTTTTTAAGGGAACCGTGGTAATAACTGGTCGCTTTCACGCTTGTGGGAGAAGTGACCGGGTCCAGGGGCGTCCCGGGGTGAGTCCTTCAGGGGGACGTTCTGAGCAGCCTGCCACGCCCACCACCAGGCCAGAGTTCCATTTTTTTTAGAAAGAGTTCGCTTTGGGCTGACACCTGGGATGTGACGCTTCCAGATGCTTCTCACGGTCGCTGATCCACGCTCTTCCAGGCACCAGCAGCAAGACCGAATTTCACCTAGGAGAAAGGAAGCAGTGTCCAGACAGAAGGAGACAAATGACCTGGCCCCTTGGGGCTTCTCCAGATGGAACTGCCCTGCAGGCCATACCTCTGGCCTGACCCCTCTGCCCCCCAACTCACTCATAGTCACGTGCTACAACCCTCTTTCTTCCTTACCTTCCTCCCTATTATGCCCTCAATGGGTGTCCTTCATTAAGCTAGGGCTCAATATTTTCTGCAAAATTCCACCCAGTCCGCACAGTTCCCCTATGCAGCACCAGGAACCCCAAGGGCTGACCCTCTGGATTTCACCTGTCAAGGACCCTTCTCTGTGATCTTTCTTGGTCAATAATAATAATAAAAAAAAAATGGGCTTGGGGCTGGAGCAATAGCACAGCAGGTAGGGCGTTTGCCTTGCACGCGGCCGACCTAGGTTCGATTCCCAGCATCCCATATGGTCCCCTGAGCACCGCCAGGAGTAATTCCTGAGTGCATGAACCAGGAGTAATTCCTGTGCATCGCCAGGTGTGACCCAAATAGCAAAAAAAAAAAAAATGGGCTCATTGCGGGGCCAGAGGGCGTTTGCCCTGCACCTGGCCAACTCAGGTTTGATCCCTGGCATCCCATAGAGTCCCCTGCGCACTGCCAGGAATAATTCCTGAGTGCAGAGCCAGGAGTAACCCTAAGCATCCCTGGGTGTGACCCAAAAAGTAAAAAAAAAAAAAAAGCCAGAGGGGCTCATCCGGAGCTGCCTCAAGGGGCCCCGAGCCCCATCCCCAGCAGCGCAGGGCGCAGGTGGCATCTGGCTCATGAGTACCACAAGGAATAGCCCCTGGGTGTCCAAGCACAGATAAGAGATCCAATCCCCCACCCAAAATAATTCAATTTTGCCATCACTGCGGATGAACAGCAGAGTTGCAAAGAGGAAACACATGCCCTTTACTCAGCCTACTTGTTTATGAATAAGATACCATATAGGCATTTTACTATATAATATATAGATTTATAAAAGTGTGTTGGGGCATGACAGAAACCGACAGGGGCACAGCACCATCGGCCGGATTCAGGATATTCAGCATCAAGGGTACCTGATTACATGCCAACAGCCTGACTCCGTTGTCTCTGGATGGACCTCACCAAGACATAATCTGCTGAAAATTCTGGTATGTGGCTTTTGTGACTGACATCTCCAGGCTTTCTTGGAGTCGGGATGGGCTACCTCCCTCCGTTTCCCTGTAACTTCCGGAAACCTCAGCAATCACATCCACACCCCAAAGCTGCCACCCAATTGAAAAGCTACTCCAGTCTTACCATCCCGATACAAATACCGAATGCCCAGAACAAACACCAGGACCTCTCAGCGCCCCTATTGAAAACCATAATGCACAAGAGGAAAAGGAGTGAGAGAGCCACAAGGAAAGTGACTCCCAGAGAGGGAGGCTGAGGGTGGGGGGGTGAGGTGGTGGTGGATGGTGGGAAATGGGCACTGGTGGAGGGATGGGTGCCGGATCATTGTATGACTGAAACCCAATAATGAACAGCTTTGTAATGGTCTATCTCATGGATATTCAATTAAAAAAAATGTTTTAAGTAATGTGGAGTTTATGCCCAATTCAATCAGTGTAATCAATGGCTGAATAAATTGCAGTACTCCTGCATTTAAAATTGTAGCACTGTAGCACTGTCCTCCCGTTGCTCATCGATTTGCTTGAGCAGGCACCAGTAACATCTCACAACAAATTGTGAGACTTGTTGTTACTGTTTTTGGCATATCGAATACATCGCGGGTAGCTTGCCAGGCTTTGCCGTGTGGGCAAGATACTCTCAGAAGCTTACCGGGCTCTCCGAGAGAGGCGGAGGAATCGAACCCGGGTCAGCTGCATGCAAGGCAAACGCCCTATCCGCTGTGCTATGGCTCCAGCCCGCATTTAAAATAAATAAATAAAATTTTAAAAAGAGTAGCGGGGGACTGGAGAGATAGCACAGCGGGTAGGGCATTTGCCTTGCATGCGGCCGACCGGGTTTGATTCCCAGCATCCCATATGGTCCCCTGAGCACCGCCAGGAGTAACTCCTGAATGCAGAGCCAGGAGTAACCCCTGTGCATTGCCAGGTGTGACCCAAAAAGCAAAAAATAAATAAATAAATAATAAAAAAATTTAAAAAGTAGCAGATTAGGGGCCAGAGCAATAGTACAGCAGGGAGGGCCTTGCACACGGATGACCCTGGTCCAATCCCTGGATCCCGTAGAGTCACCTGAGCACCCCACCCCCCCGGAGTAATTCCTGAGAGCAGAGCCAATAGTAACCCCTGAGCATCCTTGGGTGTGACTCAAAAAGCAAAACAAAACAAAAGAGTAGCTTATTAGGGGCCTGAATGCTAGCACAGTGGGGAAGGCTTTTGCCTTGCACTTTGGCAGGCTTGTTTGTGGGGGCAGTTTCGGGGGGGGCACACCCAGCAATGTTCAGGAATTACTCCTGGCTCTGCATTCAGGAATCACTCCTGGCGGTGCTCAGGGGACCTTGTGGGATGCTAGGATCACGTGGGACACCAGACACCCTGGTTGTCTGTGTGCAAGGCAAGTGCCCTCCCCACTGTCCTATTACTCCAGCCCCACTAGCCAGGTCCTCTGTTCCAAGAACAAGATGCCAGGTCTGGCTGCCTGCATTGGCTGCTGAGACGGCCCTATTTCCACACATTTTTGTTTGGTTTTGGGTCACACCTTACAATGCTCAGCACTCAGGGGTTCCCCCTGGCTCTATGCTCAGGCATCACCCCTGGCAGTGCTCAGACAACACAGGGGATGCTGGCGATCAAACCTGGGTTGGCTGCATGCAAGATTAGCAACCTCCCCACTGGACTATCTCTCCAGCCCCTGGAACGGCCCCCATTTTCTAATTTTGTCCTCCGGGAAGCACCATCCATGAGCCGGAGGGACAGCTGACATTTCTGGACCACCTGGCCATGGCCCCCGAGGCCCCATCTTTTCTAAATCAGATGGGCCCGGTCTCTCCAGCTGAGCCTCCCAGGGCGATGGTTGTCCCAGCTACACAGAGCCACCAGGATAAACAGGGGATGGGGGAGGTGTCAACGTCTCCTGAAATAAGGAAGGTCACAAACAGTGAGTCAGCCACAGCTGTGTGCAAGATTAAGCCCCAAAGGCCTTGAGAACTACAGGGACACCCCCAAACACCCACCCAGCCTTCGTGACTTCCCCCCTCTGGGCCCTTCTAAGTGCAGAGCTGGAAACTGGTGGCTGTAGATGACTTGGGCCCCACATCTGGCCCTCCACGCTGGAGGCCTTTGTCTGGTGGATCAGTACTGCCCGGCTTCTCTGATGGCGGGGAGGGGGCGGGGGGGGGGGGGGGGGAGGCACGTCGTGGGGAGGGGATGCCTCCCTAGGAAAGTACCCACCAGCCCCCTCTAGTGCCTTCTCCAGTCCTGGGATGTTCCTGGAGCCTGGCACATGCAGTAATTGTAACTGGAGGCTGGTACCGTCCCGCCACCCCCAGGGGCGCCCCACAAGGTGTCTCCCCTTCTCTCACTCACAAAGGCAGCAGCAGCGCCCCAGGCAAGGCAGAGGAAAGGGGGAAACACTGTCAGACAGGTTCCAAACAGAAAAGCTGGACCCAGCGTCCAGATGGCCCCGTGCAGATGGGAGACGCCTCCCAGCAGAGAGCCCCGCCACTGGCCTCTTCTTTCTCAGCTGACCCTGCGTGCTGAGGGTAAGTGAGGGGGATGGGAGCTGCCAAGAAGCAGATGTCCAAGAGGCAAATGCACTCCCAGGGCTCCTGCTGGGGGTGGTCTGGGGTCTCATCTCTCTGAGCCTCCATCAGCCCCAGAAGGGATGTCACTTGAGTGCTCAAGAGGCCTGGGGTCGCAGGACCGAACAGTGTCCTCTGAGCTACCCACACCAGGTAGTCCAACCCCGAACAGCGAAGATGAGCCACTAAAAACAGCCCCGGTTGCCCTGAGGTCCCTGAAGGGCAGCTGGGAAAATGAACCGAGCCCTGAGCAATCAACGAAGGCAAGAGGTGGAAGGGGGGCGGGGGGGGGGGGGTGGAAATCCAGGGAGCTAACAGATGCTGCTTTGTTCAAAGGGAGAATACAGACTCCAGCAGGACAGATGAGGAAAAGGAGAAAAGAAAGGCCCAAGGAGCAGAAAGAAAAAAAAAACACAAAGCCAGAAGATATAGAAGCTGATGAGGGCTGGAGCCAGAGGACAGCGGGCAGCGGGGGAAGGCGCTTGTCTTGCATGCAGCTAACTCAGATTGGATCCTCAGCACCTCGCAGGACCACCCACCCCCGAAACCGGGCAGGAGTCATCCCTGAGCACAGAGCCCTGAGTGTGGCTTGAAAAACAAAACGTGGGGCTGGAGTGGTGATAGCACAGGTGGTAAGGTATTATTCGCCTTGCATGCAGCCAACCTGGGTTCCATCACCGGCATCTCCTAGGGTCCCCTGAGCACCACCAGGAGTAATTCCTGTGTGCAGAGCCAGGAGTAATCCATGAGCAACACCGGGTGTGACCCAAACCCCCCCCAAAAAAAAAACAAAAAAAAACATAGATAAACAGACAGGCACGTCCACACCACCATGCCTGGCACATCCCCACCTGTACTTGATGTCAAACACGGTGGCGTCCTCGTCATCATCCTCATCCTCATTCAGGGGGGCCATCTCCACGCTCTCGGCCGGGGTGGTGATGATGTCATACTTGCGGGGCTTCTTTGACCGTCGCCCCGACCTGGCAGAGGAGATGACGGAAGCCTGAGCTTGGGCAGGGGGGGTTGGGGGGGGGGGGGGGTGGCGCACCACCACAGCACGTCACTGATCTTTCCCGTGGCTCACACACCCTGCAGAGATGATGATGACCTCCCCGCCACACGCTGAGACACGGGGATACCTCCGCAGTGCAGGGAGAAGGCACTTGTCTTGCACATGGCCAACCTGGGTTTGAGCCTAACACCACAGATGGTCTCCTAATCACCCCCAGGAGGGATTCCTGAGTGCACAGCCAGGACTCAGCCCTGAGCACTGCAAGCTGTAGGACAATCCCCACTACCACCACCAAAAAAAGTCGGAGGAGATAGAACAATAGTACAGCCAGGAAGGCACTAGCCTGCCTTTTTGCCTTGCATGCGGCTGACCTGGTTCTATCCCTGGCATCCCGTATGGTCCCCCACCACCGCCTGGAGTGATTTCTGAGTGCAGAGCCAGGAGTAACCACTGAGCATCTCCAGGTGTGGCTTCCAAACACAATTTAAAAAGAAATAAAAAATAATGGCATGGCTCAGAGGCCATGGGACCCACCGAGGTGGTCCCCGAGTTACCCGAGCATGGCCATGGTTGACCGGGAACTGCCAGATTCCCTGGTGTGGGTGTGGGTCTTCACTATGGAGTGTCACCCTGCCCCAGTATGCACCACACCAGACAGTGCATGAGCAAAGAGGCAGCACCTCATTCTAGAAAGAGTGGAGTGTCCACAACCAGAGGAGATATGGGGCTGAGCTGGGGGCCCCCCGGACAGAGCATAGCAGAAGCCTGGGGACAGATAGTATCATCACCTGCAGCAGGAGACTCAGCGTAGCCTGCCCCCACGGAGGGGACCCCTTAGCCCAGCCCTGTTCCACTCCCTTTCTTCCGTGTGCTTGTGTTTTATTTGGGGGCCACACCCGGCGAAGCTCAGAAATCATTCCTGGCTCTGCACTCAGGTATCACTCCTGGTGGTGCTCAGGGGACCATATAGGTTACTGGGGACTAAACCCAGGTGCTCTACGAGCAGGGTGAGGGCACTCCCCGCTGTGCTCTATCCTCCAGCCCCAACCCGCCCCCTTTCTTCACCACAACTGAAGTGACAGGTTAGAGAGAGTGACGGGTTGGGGGGGGGGGGGGGAGTTGAAGTCAACCCGGCGGCCCAGTCCTGGTGTTATTTCTAGAAGAACCAGAGCTAGCGCCAAAACACACATTTCCACCCACACTGTGCATGCGGAAACCCAGCCTGGCGCCGGCAGGTGTGTTTGCCCAAAGGTGCGTCTGACTCACGGATAATCAGAAGCTGGCCCCCTGCTAGGGGTCAGGGGGTACGGCTGGGATGCCCCAGAGGGGTATGGTCATAGGCCCTTCTCCCCCCACCCCCATGCAAGATAATCACACAAAACAAGTCCTCCCCTCCCAGCTGAGCACTCGCTTTGGGAGTGCTAGTAGGGCCCAGTCTCAGTGCCCATGACCGGGAGGCAATTTCCCTGTGTGGGGGCATCTGAGCAAGTTGCCTCCTGAAACCTAAAGTCCCCTTGAGTCTAGTTCAACTTTGCATGCGGCTGACCTGGGTTTGACACCCCAGCATCCCATACGGTCCCCCAAGTCTGCCAGGAATGATCCCTGAGCACTGCCAGGACTGGCCCAAAAAAAACAGAAACAAAAAAATCAAAGTCTGTTTCAATAGCTCCCAGGTGTGGCTCTTGGGGGGGCCTGGAATTCCCACCCCACAGGCCCACAGTTTTCCCATTTCCTCCAAGAGGCTGTCCCAGGCCAGACCACACAGGGGCTCCCATTTCCAAGCCCAATTCATGGCCCCCACCTCAGTCCCCAGCAAGCACAGCGTCTTAGAGCCTGCCCGTGGCCCTAGCAGGTTCTGGTACCCCAGTGGGGAGAAGTCCAGGAGGGGCTCAGGCCTAGAGCGCACCCCTTCCCCCGCAAGCACAAGCACAAGTCACAAGTACAGGGTTGGGGGAAGGCTCCAGGGGCTTTGCTCTGAGAGCCCCGATTCCCCCCGAACCACTGTATGGTTCCCCCCACCTCTGCTCCAAGGGCTGCCGGCAAGACACAGAGAGAGAAGCATCTCCACTCCCTCATATTCCATAAACCCCTACAAACAGTGCCATCGCAAGGAGAAAGACACACTTTTTTTTCTTTCTTTCTTTCTTTCTTTCTTTCTTTCTTTCTTTCTTTCTTTCCTCCCTTCCTTCTTTCTTTCTTTCTTTCTTTCCTCCCTTCTTTCTTTCTTTCTTTCCTCCCTTCCTTCTTTCTTTCTTTCTTTCTTTCCTCCCTTCCTTCTTTCTTTCTTTCTTTTTGGGCCATACCTGGAGATGCTCAGGGGTTACTCCTCGCTCTGCATTCAGGAATTACTCCTGGTGGTGCTCGGGGAACCCTATGGGATGCCAGGGATGGAACCTGGGTCAGCCACATGCAGCCCAAACACCCTCCCCACTGTTCTAGCGCTCTTGCCTAAAAGATACTTTTCTCTTGCATGTGCAGGAAGTGATCAAGGTTACTGAATTTTCTGGGGCATTTTCCACTTTCCCTAAGGACCTAAGACTCCGTCTAGCCAGTTCCAGCACAGCAGAACCCAAGCCCTAGAACGATTTCGTTCCACTGAGATGTATGTGTGTGTCAGGGCGGGAGTGATAGAACAGCAGGGAGGGCATTTGCCTTGCAAGCGGCTGGCACAGGTTCGATCCCTGGCATCCCACTGGATCCCTCCAGTCCCACCAGAAGTGATTCATGAGCTCAGAACCCTGAGCACTGCTGAATGTGACCCCAAAACAAAACAAACGAAAAAGACTTTGTATGTTGGCGTTTCCGGAGCTTCTGAACCCTCACTACCTGCATTCAAGAGGTGGGTGAAAACATCATCAATTCCTGCCCCAAAGCCTTGAAGGGGGCTTTGCTTTATTTGGGGGGGGGAGTTTTTGGGTCACACCTGACTATGCTCAGGGCTTACTCTTGGCTCTGCACTCAGGAATTACTCCTGGAGGTGCTGGGGGGCCCCTATGGGATGCCAGAGATCAAACCCAGGTCAGCTGCGTGCAGGGCAAACGCCCTCCCCACTGTGTTATCGCTCTGGCCTCAGGTCAGGAGGGTGGTGCTTTTTTTTTTTTTTTTTTTTTTTTTTTGCTTTTTGGGTCACACCCGGCAATGCACAGGGGTTAGTCCTGGCTCATGCACTCAGGAATTACTCCTGGCGGTGCTCAGGGGACCATATGGGATGCTGGGAATCGAACCCGGATCAGCTGCGTACAAGGCAAACGCCCTACCTGCTGTGCTATTGCTCCAGCCCCAGGGTGGTGCTTTCTAAGCAGGACTCTGTTCCACTCTCCAGGTCCCAAAGAGAAGCACTGATGTCCAGTGGGTTTATTTCATTGTTTCTTCTTCCCAGGTGACCTCTAGGATAAGTGATACCTCTTGATACAGATACGCTAGTTGAGGACAGGTGCCTGGGGCCAGGTAGGAGGTTGGGTGATGTTCAGACACTGGCCTGGCCAGTCCCAGTGTCTCCGGGGTGAGGGGGAGCAGGTGGGGGGTGGATGGACCTTTGCTGCTACTGGCCCATGAGTGACAGCTGGGGGATGTCAGGTGGCTGAGAAGAATTTTCCCTCCCCACGCCCCAGGCGGCACCTGGGAGGCCACCTCCCAGATAAAAAGACTGGGCATGCAGCCAAGACAGATCCGGGACAGAGGTCACTTGGCAAGGCTGGCGACTAACCCAGAGGCAGGGGTGGGGTGGCACCCCCAAGATCTCAGGGAAATACAGCTCCCACTGGGTTTTGTCCTCATTTCTCTCTTCCAATAAAGACAGAGAGAAGGACTGTCCCCTCCGCCTAAGGTCTCAGAGTGTCCAGCTGACTTCATCAGCGAGCACAGGGCACACAGAAAAAAAGTGAGAGGGCCCATCTCCACCCATGCTTGGAGTCCCACATCCGGGCACCCTCTCCCCCCCCATGATTCCCGACAGGACCCAAGGCACAACACCACCCAACACAGAGCGGGTTCCCCACTGCTGAGACAAAGGTGCTTTGTTGAAACCGGAGTCAACACTGCATCAAGTAGCAAGACAGCCTGGGCCAACCAGGCAGTATCTTTCTCTCTCTCTCCCTCCGTCCCTTCATCCCTTCCCAAAAACTCACACACACGCGCGCGCATGCGCACATGCACACGTACACACACACATGTACGCACACATGCGCGCGCACACACACACACTATAGAGATATGGGTCCTCCCCATGGATGGGGTGCTCTGCCTGCAAAGCCACCTTCCTTGCCCTTTCTAGGGCCAGGATCCCACAGCAGAATAAAAGCTCACGGTGAAACGTGCGCAGATGCCAGGCACCCCAAAAGGTCCCCCAAGCACGAACAGGAGTGATCCCTGAGCACCAAACCCAAACTAACCCCTGAGTACTGCTGGATGTAGCCCCAAACAAACACCCAGATTTCCCTGGGGGAGGTGCTAGGCTCCCACCTCACAGTCTGCAGGGCCTGCCAAGCACTGGGCCAACGGGCGTGCTGAACAGTGCCAACAAGTTCAGACCCTGGGGAGTTCAGTGGGCCCCGAAAATGCCCGGGGCAGGCACCAGTGGGGGCACGAAGCCAATCGAGGTGCCAGAGACTCAGACCGAAGCCCGTCAGCTCACGAGAACCTGTTGCCTGATCAGCCGAGGAAATGGGCCTTGTGCAGTGACACTTCTCTTGGGGAAACTTTGGGAACAAGGTGGGGGGAGCCAGGGCAGGTTGGGGGTACAGGCAAACAGCAAGAGGTGTCTACAAGCCAAAGGGCCTCCAGGTAGAGGGTCGAGAGCACAAGGCAAACTTTGTGAGGGTCCGAGAGGGCCGAAGCAATGGACAGAGCTCAGGTGGGGTCTCCTGAGGAAGAGAGACAGGCCCAGCCACGAAGTCTGAATTTCACCCACACCCTAAAGGGTTTGGGGGCAGAGGGAGGATGAACCCCATAGAGGGTGGGTGGACAAGAGAGGGAACAGGGGTAAAACCCCCACCAGAGGGTGGACACAGCAGGATGGGGAGTAGGACAGGAGAGAAGCCAGGGAGGAAGGGGTGTAGGCATGAGGGTGAGGGGCGCATCCCCCAGGAACCTGGGGAGGGGGTTACCGGGGGAGGAGTGAAAAGGAGGCAGCAGAGTACAGACCACCTGGACCCAACCTGTAGAATTTTCTAGAACAGAATCCTGCCCAGCAGGCCTCTGAGCACCAGGCTAAGGGAACAAGCTAAGCCACCCAGGGTCCCCCAGGAGTGACACCCCCAGACACAAAGCTGGGGTTGACCCTCCATAATGGGGCGTCCACCACTGCGGAGGAACCAGCATGGAGCTGGGCGTAGTGGCCATGTGTCCTGGCCATGGGCAGAGAGCAAGTGAGGGGCAGAGAGGACACTCGGAGACACCATAAAGGGGCCAGAGCCTGGATGTCCCCAACTGCCACACCCAGGGAGGGTCTAGGGGAGAAGCTGGTGAGTGGGGGGGTGGGAGTGAGGGGTTGGGGTGGGAAGTGGGTGTCAGTGGGGAGGGGGGTCTGGCAGTGGTGCACCGGGAGATTGAGGGGGCCAGAGGCCACGGAGGCGGGACTGGGCACCAAGTCTGTTTTCCCTTGGATGCAGCTGGTCCCCCAGGAAATCCAGGTCAGGCTGCAGCGAGAACAGACGCCAATAGGGAAGCACCCCGCCCCTCCAGGACAAACCTGACAACACAAAGCAGCTGGGCTGAGCAAACCCAGCACTGGGGCTGGGCGCTCCCAGGGGGTGCGGTCAGTGACCCGCACACGCGGAGAGCCCCTAGCAACCGGACACATCTGCTCCGCTGCCCCTCCCCCCATCAGGATTTCCCAGGCATGAGGGCTCACCTCGGGACTGTTTTGGGGAGCTGCGTCCTCCCTCCAGCCTGAGCCGGCCCCCCCTAAAGCCTCTCCCAGACCCCCACCTCTCCACCTACGCCCCAGTACTGAGACAATCCCCCTCCTCCGCAGGCCGCCTTCCCAGAGTCCAGCTCCAAGCCCCATAGAGGACACCCCCAGGCTGGCTGGAGCCAGCCCTGCATGCAACCGATCTGGGGGTGGGGGGACAGCGCCCCGCCAGGAGTGATCCCTGAGCACAGAGCCAGAAGTAAGCCATACCAGGAGCAGGTATGGCCCCAAACCAACCGACCAAACAGATCAAAAAACAACAATAACAACAACAACAACAATCCTTTCTGCGCCTCCCCGCAGTCTGGTCTCCGGAGAGGAGAATGGAACGGCGGAGAAGGGGCCGGCCACCTCCAGCGGGTCCGCCTGGAAGCCAGGAGCGGCCGGATCTTTCGGCTCCTTTGTAAGGGGGGGTTCAGAAAGCACACCCCCTCTGTCCCCCGGGGGCGAGCGGGTTTCGGGGCGCTGCGGGGACACCCCCCCCGCCGGTCCCCAGCTCCAGCTCCGGCCCGGGCGCGCGCCCCGCGGGGCCCCACCTGAGCACACGCAGCAGCAGGCAGGCGACGAGCAGCGCGGAGAAGGCGCAGGCCACGATCACGGCCACCTTGAGCGCGGGCAGGTCGCGGACCAGGCCGGACAGGCGGGTGACGAGCGCGTCGGCGCTGCGGGTGTCGTTGGCGGGCGGCGGCGCGGGCGGCGCGGTGCGGACGGCGACGGCGGGGCGAGGCAGAAGCGACGCGGCGCGCATGGTGGGGGGCGGGGGCACACCTGTCCCGCGCCCCGGACCTCACCCCGCAGCCCGGGCTCTATCCCGCACCCCCAATCCGGGCCTTCCCCGCACCCCAGCTCCCCCGCGGCTGCCCGGCGGCTGCGCGCGCGCGCCGCGGGGTCAGGAACCAGATGCGCCCGGAAGGGCCAACACGTCGCGACGGATCATTCGATCATGCGATGTGGCCGCGGCCCCACGTGGGCGGGGCAGCCACCACCCGGAGCCCCGATAACCCCCCCCGCAAGGACCAGGGATGGGGAGGGCCACCCTAGGGAGCAGGCGGCGCTGCGGGCGCTGCAGGTCACGTTCCAACCGTTATTTATGTCACTTGGAACCTTGGGGCTAAAGAGACTGCTGGTTGGGTTTTTTTTTTTATTCTTAATTTTGTCTGGGGGCCACAGCCTGCTGTGCTCAGGGTTTACTCCTGGCTCTGCACTCGGGGATGACTCCTGGCGGTGTTCAGGAGACCTGGTTGGGGGATGAGATCATGCCGGGGACCGGGACATATGCGGAAACCGCCCTCCCCACTGCACTGTCTCTCTGGTTCTATTTCCCTCTTTTCCAAAGAAATTTTCTTGGGCCGGAAAGAGCACAGCAGATAGGGCCCTATCAGTAGACAGCCGACCTGGGCTTCAATTCTCAGCATCCCATATGGCATCCTGAGCACTGGCAGGAGTGACCCACAAGCACAGAGCCAGAAATAAGCTGTGGAGCACCACTGGGTGTGGCCCCAAGACAATAATCCAAAGTTTAAAAGAACAAACACACAGGGGCAGGAGCAATAGCACAGCAGGGGAGGGCGTTTGTCTAGCATGAGGCCAATTCCCAGCATCTCATGTGGTCCCCAGAGCACTGCCAGGATAAGTCCTGAGCATCACCAGGTGTGCCCCACACCCCAGACAAAAATACAAACAAACAAGCAAAAGAAAGAGCTCCTAGGGGCTGGAGCAACAGCACAGCGGGTTGGGTGTTTGCCTTGCACGCGGCCGATCCGGGTTCGATTCCCAGCATCCCATATGGTCCCCTAAGCACCGCCAGGAGTAATTCCTGAGTGCATTAGCCAGGAGTAACCCCTGTGCATTGCCAGGTGTGACCCAAAAAGAAAAAAAAAACTGAGCCCCTAGCATCTCTCTTTGGGCAGAAATCTAGCTGAATTGAGCTGAACCCTCTCCTTTGGGGTCTGTGAGGAGAGTGCAGGGGGGTGCCCCAGGGTTGGGGGGCTCTCACCTCACGGGTCATCCTCCAGGCAGGCTCCATCAGTGGTTCGGAGTGCCTCATTCAGCACCTCCCTACTCCCCAACTGTGTGAGAAACAACCTCAATACCTGATCAGCTGCTGGCCAGAGGCCACCTTTGTGCTGCGCCAAGTGTGCCTTGCCAAGGCTGCCTTATTAAAGCATTCATGCTCACAGATGCAGGGTTCGAGGGCCCGCCTGTGGGGCGGTCACCCTAGCGGGACACGGACACGCAGCCTGTTATCATGTCAGCTGAGGCAAGTCTCCGGGTGTGAATACCCAGATGGAAACTGCCCATCACATAGATAACACACCCGGCTTCTGCAGAAAGAACAAGTACGGGACTCTCGGCAGCCCTCTCCCAGGGACTGGGGGGGGCTGGGCAGGTTCACTGCTCGCCCGCCCGTCACGTCCACTGGCGGGAGAGCTACACAGACCACATGACGTTCTGGTTCTTCCAGCTGCAGGTCTGTCAGAGTGTGGCCTGGGCTGAGAGCCAGCCCCACAGCCAGGCCAGTGAGAAAATCCTTCAAGAGCCACCTCGGCTGCCAGGAACGTGCAGTGCTGGTAACCCTGAAGGCGCAAATCTCGAACATCATCTTTGTTCCAGAAACTTCTGGGCAGCAGAGTGAAGTCCCGGGCTCTGGACCCTCCAAGCCACGATCAGGGGCCACTGAGTGGCCGGAGCCAAGGGCTAGACCCACCACATTCAGGAGGTTTGCGGATTGTTTCTTCTTTTTGGTTTTTGAGCTATATCCACGATGCCTAGGGGTTACTCCTGTCTCTGTACTCAGGAATCACTCCTGGTGGTGCTCCGGGAACCCTGTGAAATGCCGGGGATCAAACCCAGGTCAGCCGCATACAAAGCAAACACCCTCCCCGCTATACTATTGCTCCAGCCCCTGGATTTTTTTTTAATGCCTAAGACAAAAACGATAATTCTTAGCTCCAGAAGGTCACAGGAAGCAAAACTGAAAACTGCACCCTTCTCCATCTCTACCCAGTCCCCTACTTACTTAGGGGCCCACGAGCCACCACAGTTTAGTACAACAGGAATGACTTAGCAGGGAAACCTTCTGGAATCCCTTCAAAAACCTTTATTTTGGGGGTCTACACCCGGTGTTCAGGGTTACTCCTAGCTCTGCATTCAGGGATCACTTCTGGCAGTGCTCGGGGGGCCCTATGGGGTGCTGGGATGGAACTTGGGTCGGTTTTCTGCAAGGCCAGTGCCCTCCTCTCTGTCCTATAGCTCTGGCCCTTTGAACCCTTTGTTGCATATGTCTCAGTCACGAAAAGTGGTCATGAATGGAGGTGGAGAGACAGCTGAGAGCAGGGAGAGAGGGGGGAGAGAGAATCTGGGAGGCAAGGTGGGGGTGAAAACTTGCCTTTTCCCCTCCTTGGAAAAACTCTGCGCCAGGCCTGAGCACAAACCTGGGGACACCCCAGTCCTCATCCCTACCTGTGTCCTCCCTCCTGTGGAGCAGAAATCCAGGCTGCAACTCATTCCATACCCCCATTTAAAAAAAAAAAAAAGAGTTGCCATCATCAGATATTCATGCCTTGTCCTATCAATAGTTCCCCTCTTCTGCACCAACGTCAAAGAGCCCAAAGTGAGAACAAGGGCATGTGAGCCTTGTCCACAAATAGTAATGCGTGTTTTGCAGAGGGAACACGGGGGATCGGATCTACTTGCACCCCAGGACAGCTGCCCTGCCCGGCTGACACCCACAGGGGCCATGTGCATGACTCCCCCAGAAACTGGGCATTCCGGATCCCGGGGACGTTGGAGGACATGGCTAGCGGCAGGTGCGTGCGCAGCGTCTAAACTCCAAGCCTGTGTGAGATGCACAGACAGAGGCAAGGAGAGGCCACACTGGCAGAGGGGACAGGCTTGGAGCACAGACACTGGGGCCACGGTTTAATGATGCCCTGCCCCTGCCCTCAGCATTGTGCCCCTCCCCCAGTCCCAGCATCACATTATCCTCTGCACAATGTCCCACCATCTCTTCTACCCTCTTTGACAGCTAAGAACAGCTGAGACTACGATAGTCAAACAGGCTCCAGGAAACCACCCAAAGCCAGACTCTCTGCCCCCTCCATTTCAAGACTATTTTTAATATTCAAATCTTGCTATTTGGGGGACCCAACACCCAACAGTCAGACCCACGCTGCCAGGCTATCACCAGGAGCAGATCTGGGGTCCCCCAGTACTGCTAGGGAGCGATCCCCCAGAAAAGAGAAGGTGCAGAGAGGCAACCTAAAAGGAAAGAGAGGAAAATTCCAGAAAAGCTCATTCTCCACCTTGAGTGTCTTCCTCCATGCCCCTGGGATGGTGCTGGGGACCCCAGATCCATCTGGTAATCCCTCTGGGGGTAATCCTGGGGACAGTGGTCAGGGTTCCATTGAAGGTTATAAGGGGAGTGTCAGAGCGTTAGTCCAGCAAGGAGGGTATTTGCCTTTCCAAAGTTGACCCGAATTCGACCCCCGGCATCCCGTAGGGTCCCCGAGCACCACCCCAAGTACTTCCAAGTGCAGAACCAGGAGTAACCCCTGAGCATCTCCAGATGTGGCTGAAAAACAACAACCCCCAAAAAACATGAAAAGAAAAGAAAGGTGGGGTGGGGGGAAAAGGTATAATTCCTCCACCAATTCAATCAATTCTCTCAGAATTCCATCTCTCCCTGCTCAGACCAAGAACACAGCCTGGTGGCGTGTGACTGTCACGGGTCCATGATCCACTGGGGCCCTTTAACATTCCCTGAGTTCAGCCCTGGATTTGTTCCTCTGAGGCTGAAGAACATGCAGTTGAGGAGAATCAAATCTATCTCCGCTGGTGTCCTCAGCTGATTTTAAGTGACCTGGGAGTCGGGACAGTACCCACCACTTGTATGCAGACAGAACCCAAAGTCAAAGGGCCGTGGGGGCCTGTCCATCTGAAAGGAATGGCATACCCTGGGCCCAAGCCACAGGGAAGGCATTTGCCTTGCACACAGCCAACCAGCATCCAGTCCCCAGCAGCACACAGGATCCCCTGAGCCCTGCCAAGAATGATCCCTGAGCCAGGATTAGCCCTGATCAGCCAGCTGGGGCCCCAGAACCAAAATAAATAAGGAAATGTTTTATCATTTCTGAAATGCCTATGGGGTTTGGGTTGCTGCTGGTTTTCCTCTTTCCTTCTTGTTGTTTGGGCCACATCTGGTAATGCTTAGGGGACTGGAAGACTCACACATACACACACACACACACACACACCTGTGGTGGTACTGGGCCTCGAACTGGGTCTGCAACATGTAGGCTAAGTTCCTTATCATAAAGCCAGTGTGCTCACTCAGGCCCCACCTAGCAAGGTGTGAAATGGCCATTTCCTCCTGGAGGTGACCCAGCCAGGTCTGAGGGGCAAGGGTGACAATGGAGTGGCCAAGTCTCTTGACCTCCCCATTCTGGGCAGATGCCCTGGACACAGGGATAACACAAAACTCGGGGCTTCATGCTGGTCAGACTCTGCCCCAAATCCAAGAGTTGAACTGTCAGAAAAGGAACAGCCAAGCCCCCACACTGTCAGGCGCTCTCTCTCTCTTTCTCTCTCTCTCTCTCTCTCTCTCTCGCTCTCTCACTCTCTCGCTCTCTTGCTCTCGCTCTCTCTCTTTCACTCTCACTCTCTCTCTCACACATACATATGCAACCACATGCACACACACAATCACATGTGATTGTGTGTACAATCATATACACACTCATGTGCAACCACGTGCACTCACACAATCACATGCACGCACAAAATCACACGTGCACACACATGCAAACA